TTGTATGCCCTCACTCTGTCCGGTGTTTGTGTATAGAGCTTTCAGGATGTTAATAAACTTTTCAGGCACTACCTTCTTCAATAGACAATCTCAGAGAACAGTTCTGTCCAACGAATCGAAGGCAGCCCTGATGTCAAGAAACACTACGATTGTTGGCCTTTGATTAGTATGGCGGTGTTCTAACATTTGGCGGAGGGTGAAGATATGATCAATACATCCTCGCGAGTCAATCCTCCTCGGGTTTTGAACAACCTACGAAGTATAACGGAAGCCAATAGCTTGCACGCAATCGGAAGTAGACTTATCCCCCGATAGTTGTTAGAGGAACGACGTGAACCCTTTTTAAAGATAGGGACAACTATCGACTCATTCCATGACGTTGGACACACTATCTATTTCCCACACCTTTGTAAACAACGTCGTCAGTCCCTTAGTCAGAAAGTCACCACCATCTTTAAAAAGAGCCGGAGGTAAGTCGTCTGGGCCCGATGATTTGTAACGTCACCGGCCATAGTGGGCAGGACGGTCTGACCGATGTTGTCGGAGCAGCAGGCCAGCTGAACTGCCCTTCGAAAAATTCTGCCCATCGTCCAAGACGACGATGAATGTTAGTGATTGGCGTTCCGTCATCCTCGCAGATTATTTCGCTCACACCAGACTTCTTGCTGCCAGTGGCTCGGAGGAGTTGGAAGAGCTTCCGGTAATTACCAGATGCAGCTGCTGCTTCAAACTCACTGGCACGCTCCGACCACCAGGCTTCTCGGTCCTCACGCAAGCTTTGCCCGATTTCATTACGTAACATCTTTCGTCTGTGGTCAAACTCACGGTCACCCGGAGTAGACCGACGGGCTTCAATCAGTTGTAAGGAACCAGAAGAAACCCCGTGCTTATAAGCGCCACGTTTCGCAAACCCACAACTGACTTTACCCGCCATTTTCATGGCGTCATGCAATTGCAACCTATGCTCATCTATACTTTTCGGTGGAATGGTAGCTAGCCTAGAAGCTAGCTCGGCTCGGTACTTACTAGCAACAGAAGTTGCAACCAGCTTGCCAACGTCAATCCTTTGGTGGCGGTCACTTCGTTGTCCACTGAAAAGTAAATAAGATTGGCGCAGACCAGGTCACGATCAGATTCCAGATAGGTACTCCAAAAGGAGTGGCAGTCTTGTACACAACCACGCCAGCGGTAGCTGATCGCGATGTGATCAATCTGAGTCCAGGCTTGAGATGCAAAAGGGGGATGCCAGGTGGCACATCGGCGATGACTGTGCCGAAAGTTAGTGCTAGCCAGAAACAGGTTGTGGTCTGTGCACAGTTGCAGTAGACGTTCCTCGTTATCTGTCCTGCGACCAACAAGTCCCCATCGGCCACCTAAACGACTCTCTTCTGTGCCTAGACGCCCGACCTGAGCATTCAAGTCTCCGGCTAGTACTACAATATCTGTCGAACGCACTTTCTGGAGAAGAACAGTTAACTGGTGGTAGAATTCATCCTTGATTGCATCCGGGCTGCAATCTGTTGGGGCATAGGCGGAGACGACGAAAAGACATCGTTTCTCACGCCGATTTCTCACTTTGATGGTACTTTCTAATCTAGCAGCACATAACCGACTGTTAGTGGGGATCCAATCAATTAGTGCTGCCTCAGCTCTAGCGCTTAGTGCGACACCAAAGCCAGCATGACCAGACGAAGATGCCACAGGGTCCCCGGATAAACGCACATAAAACAAGCTTTTTGAAGTGACAGATGGAGAGCGAACTTGTAGTACTTCATCAGAGTCTTGAATACGGGTCTCGGATAGACAACAAACGTCAATATTAAGACTTTCCAAAGACATAGCCAGCCCTATCTGTTGTCCGACCTGCATAAGTGTGCGAACGTTAGAGGCAGCCAGTTTGAATGGTGCATGTGGTTTCAGAAAAACTGCTTCAGTACTCTTATTCGATGGTAACATACAATTTTCAACCAGGCAGTGACACGAGAACGTTTAGATAGAGCCGAATGTCCACCATAGGCGAGCTGCTGTATAAGTCGAAAAATAAGGATAGACAGAGTGGAAATAAAAGAGAGTGAATAAATGACGTGGTAAATAATAATAATAATAATAATAATAATAATAATAATGTGAATTGTCTGAGGGTAAATCGCGGCGTGAATAGGGTTTTCAGAGAACATCACCATTTTCATTATATTTGTGTGTGGGTTGTGATACTGCCCGGGTGCCCAGACCGAAGCAGGTGGTTGTCTTAGGGGGCCACACCCCGAACCTTCGACCTAGAGGTCTAACCCACAAGGCAGTGGAGCATCGTGAGGAGATGCAGTCCCATGGAAGCCGGTGACCAAGAAATTGGTTCATACGCCTTTTGTTCCCGCAGGATACTGGAGCCCATGTGCACCATTGATTTGGGATCCGGTTATAGCGCCGGACTATTCAAAGTCTCTAACCATTGGCTACGATAGTCACGCGGTATTCAGTACCTATTGATACGGCTAAGTCTAATTGTCAGTGACTTCATGGACTGATGCCATGTTTTATTTTGGTAGTCCCTAGCTTTCTCCCAGCCCGTTGATGTAGGTGGTGGTTGGGCATACGTAACACATGTCCCAACAGCCTCAGTTGAAGATTTACTACCTCATCAATCGACTTTTCATCATAGCCCAGTACTCTATTCTTAATCCAGGCGTTGCTTACTCCGTTATCCGAAAATACACAAACAATACTTCGTAGACACTTATGATCGAATACCAGTAACGCATGAATGTCCTCTATTCTTAATGAACATGTTTCACATTCATAAAGTAGAATGAAGAGAACTTCTGGACAACAAACTCGCCTTTTAGTTAGAGGAGGGGTATCTCGCCTACACAAATGACACAAACTGGTAAAATCCAATCGAACCTTCTGAATCTGCGCCGAGATTTCTTCAGACAACAAACCATCAATAGTGATGATACTACCAAAATAAGTGGAGCGGTCGATGCGTTCGACTACATCACTCCCCACCACTAATTCAAGTGATGACGCAAGCCAACGCTGAAGTAATGTTTTATATTTACCGTGATTGAGGACATTTAGAATAAATGTATCAATGATGGTCGCATTCTCATGCAATTTGTGTAAACGCGGATTATATATTAGTAGCTACTATTAAGTCGGAACTAGTTAATACAGAGTGGTATAAGACGTCAAACATGGTGATCAAGTTAAAATAACCTGCTAAGACCTAACACAATTTATAAACTCAAAAACATTTATTTGGAAGTAATAAATTAAATCGTCTCAATAAATGCATAGTTACTGATAATCAGTAGTACATTAGAGCATCTTAAATTATCACATATGAAATATTCTAACCCTTTGCGTGACGAGAGATCTTTACTCTCCAGATTGCATTAGGCAAACTACTTTGTTTATCGATCCCGATGCTTATCTGAACCATGCTCACCTTGATCCAGTGATCTCCCGGTAAGAATCTACTACATATATGCCTTATTACGTATACAGACCGTCTTAAATAATAGTCCAAGACGGCTCTTCTCGATGATGTCACCACTACGGGATTTGAATCGACAACTACATCTCTGTGCTAATGTGGTACAGTGGCTCGAACTGATGTACGTACGTACGAAGTTTTACGTTGTTACTGACTGACTGAATGATGTCACTGCTGGGAATTGAGATTGTACTTCCTTTGAGAGATAGATCGACAAATTCAGCGGCCCATCAACGAACAGAATTGACTATGAACTATATTGTAGATGAGATATTCTGTACTATAGAATAAATTCTAGGTGACCTACTATCTTAAACAAACACCTACAACCTACAAGTTGGTAGTATAGTAAAATAACTGTCGACAACCTTAAGTACCCCACTCCGATGCCACATCGTAGTGGGCAGATGTACTTTTACTTGTCTTCCTGGTACGCGTTGTGAGATAAAAGATAGTGTTGGGTGCATGGTTGCTAAACTCGTATATGGCAGCCCACTCATTTCTAGAAATTATTGCGCTATTAACCGGACCAAACTACACGTTAACCGACTTGCACACTTTATGCTTTTATTTAGACCTCCTTCACCTTGATTCTACTCAGCAAATATCCTTATTCAACCAGGATTATGATACGGTATGTAATTTTCTGTAGATCTTGATTTCCGACCCCCACCTTTAGATAGAGCCCAGTGGATACACCAAATTTCTTGAATATGAACCAAAATATATCATTGACACGAACAACAAGCAAGATAACATGACCATTGACTGGTAAAAAGAAGGTTAAAAAGATAACTAGCTCTAAAATGATTTATTAGGCGATACACAGCTAAATGACAACTTGCCGAAGGGTACCGAGTTTTTAGCCCCAAGTGAGTGACTATTGTTGGAAAGATGTATATTTATCACATACTAACAGGTTATTTTGAAGCAATCGAAGGGTCCTCGAAATTCTAATGTTTCGGCAAATTTGAAACTAATTTACTTTGAAAAATTCCAGCCACTATGTCATATTTGTCATAATAATAATACGTCTGATAACGAAGAGAATAACTAAGCTGACTTATGAGTTTAGTGTAGAACTTATAAACTTGCTTTTTCTTAGAAGGTCAATATTCGATGGCTTGATGACTTCAACATAACCTTACTTACTTATAATAACCTGTATCCACCTTACCTGCATTCACCTAATTCGGTTACATATTAAAAGGGAACGAAAATGCATTTGGGGGGTTTTCTGCGATTAATGGAACAGCTTATTTCAGAATGACAGCATAAAACACCGACTTGAGCTTATAGTAAGTTAGAGAGCAGATAGAAGTAATAATGCACACTAAAATAAGGCTCTAATAATCAGACCAAGCGAAACATAATTCAAGATGAACATATGGTCGGTGGTGGCCAAAAATATTTACTTGGAGCAGGAATAAACAACTGGGTAGCAGTAAGTACCAACAACGAAGATGTTATTTAATAACTGACAATATCATATAAAACTACCAACCTCAGATAACTGGATGTAAAGTGGAACAGAACAACGCTTCAGGGGTATCGTCCACTGATGGGGGTTGCGAGCACCTGAAGGTCAAATTGTCGTGAAATGATTGGTGCGCCACATCAACAATTCGTGGAGTTTTGCGTAAGCGGTCAAATAAAGACGTTTTTAGACTTCATTTCAGTTCAGCCACACTATGTTTGATAACATCCATCCTTCAAGTAACTAAAGTGGTGCCATCTCAGTGATGCATGACATAGGACGAATCTTCAATTATATTACGTTATCTGGTCTTACAAGTTGGGACAATTTTAAGACCAGTTTGAATGATCGACATAACCCAATCTTCCTAATTTGGGGGACATTTTGTCCGTGTTGGGTAAACTTTGGGGAAGCCGCAATAGGAGACTTTGAGGGAATAGCACAAAAACCCCGAAATCTCACCAGACCTGATGAGGGAAATTTCGGGTTTTCCCCAGTATTTCCCCAGGAACTTACGATACTATGGGTTTTTTTCCCAAAAATTCTAGGAAGACTAATAAACTTCTTGTAATTATGAGGAAAACTCCGAAGTGTCCCAGAAACAGGGAGATTGGGACAGTAGTATTTTTCCTCTGATTATATTTTAGAATATTGATAGTTTAATCACACATCAAGACTATTGTTTCCGCCTAACTTGAATTTACTTCAGTTGAAGTAATCTCCAAGAGTATCGTTCTTTCCAGAGAAGCTTTTCATCTGTATTCCTGAGTACAGGCACAAAAAATGGCATTGGTATATTTCTTCCTCGTTGATTATATTTTTTAGTATTGTTTGTGTACAAAGATGTTAAGTTCTTTTTGCATCTACTGAAGTCAGATATTTTTCATTGTAGTTAGATACAGTAGTATACAAACATCTGCTCTTGATGTTCAGTGTCTATGACCTATCAAGTTACGTATTCTAGAGATGTGATCAAGCGACACAATAAGGTAAATAATTGGCTTACAGTCACACCTAGAAAAAAAAGTAGGAAAACGCAAACTGATTGGATCCGAAATATACGTCCGTGAGAATCTTAACCTGGTTGACTGTCTTAAGAGACAATCGACAGAAGTAGAAATAAATGAGCGCCATCGAAACGATGAAAAAATATCGCGCTTATGGGTTTTCAAATTTTGAAAGGCAATTTCTCTACAGAATTAGAGGTATGCTATATAAATGCTTGAAGTCTACTAAATAAATTGGTGGAGCTCAAGACAGTGGTAGTTATAGAAAAACTGGATGCAATAGCTGTCTCAGAAACAAGGATAACGTCAGAAGTGTTTGATAATGAAATTCAGTTGATTGGTATTTTATCCAGTGAAGCTGATCGGCTAGACCGAAGGGGGCTCCTGTACACGAGCTGTTGAGACGGTGGAATATGATCCAGGGATATGTGAGCTGGTGAGGTGCAGGCTGAAATGTAAGCGGTAAGATATTGGATTATCTGTAGTATATCGCAGTCCAGAGTGTGTGGTGGATGACTTCTTCCTCAGCAAACTTAAATCCTAGTATTATAGGGACAAAAGCCTTATAGTATGCACCGTATATAAACTGAGGAAACCTAGAAGTAGGGTCAACAAAACGTCATTTGATTACAAATTGTTAGAAAACACGATTACACTGGCTTTATTCTAGAACATTACAGATCCTACCAAATATCACCTACGAAGCTCCTCGTCTCTCTTATACCTAGTCTTTACACACGGTGATGACGTCGGTCAAATGACTTTCCTCTTACCCTTAAGGAGAAGTGGCCATGCAGCCATGTTATTAAAAATTGTGGCCTGTCAAACAGTTGTGCCATCCCGTTCTAACATATAGAAGACAGACATAGAGTCGACGAACTCTGAAGCCTCGGCTGAAAACTGGATAATTGACTCAGGGGCATCAGCAGAAGAGGCATGAACTCATTTCAGGCAGTCATACAATCAGGTAACTCAACCATATATACTCTGGACAGTCCCAAAGTAGAAGAAGCAAGGCCATCCCTGGATAAGCCGGGATACTCAACATTTGTTAAAACAAAGAAAGAAATATTGGAAAGTTGGCATCAGCTTTGGCACAGCAAGTACTATGGAACGTGACAGGTAGGTAAGAAACAGATGTTCAATTAAAATCGAGGAAGCTCAAAGAAAATATGAAATGCAGTCGGCACAATCTGCAATCAAGCACCATAAAAGACTATTCTTGAATTTAAATTACAGAACAAGGTTGTAGCGTTGAATTCCTAACCTATTTACGGAGGAGAGTGAATCTAAAATGATGAAAAATGATCAGGAGAAAGCAGAGGCTATGACGAACTATTTTGGGACAGTTTTTACTCAGGAACCTCTTCGAGAAGAAAAACTAGACCCAAATATAAAACCAAAAACCTGTCTGCTCACCGTGGACTGTAATCGAGACGATGTACTTAGGGCTCTTAGCGCTTTAGACACGGAAAAGGCAACAGGACCAGACGAAATACACCCCGAAATCCTGTGACAAAGTGCACAATATATTGCAGCCCCACTTACTGTGATATTCAACCGGCTAACTGGTCACTGTGTTACCTACGGACTGGAAGGACGCAATGCACAAAACAGGACCAAGACAACTTCCATCAAACTACAAACCTGTCACCCTTATCAGTATCGCAATTAAGATACTAGAAAGAATAGTCAAAAATGCCATAATGACATTCGTGTAAGCCAACAACTTGTTAAACAGCACACAATATGGTTTCAAAAAACGTTTGCCTTACAGAGCAAACCTCGTGGCGAGGGAGAATTTGATAAATGCTCTAGATAATGGAAAATCAGTGGATGTTGTCTCCATAGACTTTAACAAAGCATATGACAAGGTGCCAACAAAAGACTGCTATTGGGACTGGAAAATCTTGGCATTGCTGGACCTCTCGTAAAATGGCTTAAGGATTTTGTAGTAGGTCGTATACAGAAAGTAAGAGTAAATTTGAAGTGCCCTACCTGGAGACCAATACTTAATGGGGAACCTCCAGGTTCTGTCCTATGTCCTTTATTTTTATACTGTATGTAAATGATCTCCCAAGTATAGTTGAGTCCACAATGTTACTACACTCCGACAATGTAAAACTCTAGCGAGAAATAACAAGAAACGAAAATGCATGAGCACTCCAGGCAGACTTAAATATTGTGACTAGCCGGTCTAAAGAGTGATCGATGTCTATCAACGCGGCAAAGTATGTCTATATACACTTTGGGGATATAAATATTAGTAGGTACAGCATACGGGAAGTGCCTGTACTCATGGTCCGGTCCTACAAGTATGACAGTGAGTCGTGATATTAAGACCATGGCCCATTGCCGAGAGGTTACAGCTAAGGGGTTTAGAACGCAATTGGCTTTACGAAGGACATTCACCAAGTTAGATACTACCATATCCGCTAGGGTACATACAACCCTAGTGAGAACTAAGCTTGGAGACTGAGTTCAGGCTGTAGGCCCTTGTTTTAAAGGTGACTTGGATGCGCTAAAAGACGTACAAGGACAGCTACACGTGCGATTCCAGAACTCCGGGGTTTACCATACAAAGAGCAGCTTGTAAAGCTAAACCTCTTTACTCTGTCCTATCGCAGATTAAAAGGCTATCTGATTTTTGATGTATGGGATACTGCGAAATAATTTCGGACCTAATATATTCTCACATTTTCTTCCCACAAGATCGTGACATCTCAAAGGCCATAGCAGACGAGTAGAAAGACCAAGAACGGACAAAATACCTGTGTCATACAGGTTTACATCCTGAGTCACCAACACTTGTAGCCTGTTACACAAAGCAGTGGTGTTTGCACCTTCAGTTGATTAATTCAAGAGAAGATTAGACACTCAGAGACGCATGCTTGTAAAGGAGTAACATTGGCCGTAGGTCTTCTGTCATCACTTCACATACCTGAATCAGAGATATGTTTGTACGTATGGACGTGGGCAGGGTCAGCAAGATGTTACTGAACCTTAACCAACTCATACGGCAGTTTGGTCACTGAATATTGAGCAATCCATCGATACCCGTTAAGAGCAAGAACAACCAAAGTACACTGATTAATCGTACGCCATCGACTGACACATAGTGAGCTATTTGTACTGTCTCAGAATTTGATTAACGCTTCTGTCCAACTTCACCTCAGCCAACTGATTCATTAAGACTAATGATGTAGAATGTAACGAAAGATATGAGATCAGGTTACAACTAACAGTGCGAGGCGGTAAATAACTCTCCAAAATCGATAGCTCTGTAAGTCTTCGATATTTGATACTGACCTCACCAATTTTAATGAACTCACCAGGCTGAAGGCGCTCGGTCACGCATTCACACCAGATCACGAGTTAGAATGCTGTGCTCAACTTCTCTTACAATAGCTAGCCAACTTAGATCAGTCAATTCTCGACATATCGATAGCTTATCAAAAATATTTTCGAACCTTTTCGCTTATGACTTCTGATTTCACTGGGTTGGCACGTTCAGAGTAGAAAAGATTTTACTGGTTAAGGTGTTGTCAAAGTGAAAATAATTGTGACATCTTTAGTGGTGAGCCTGATGTGATATTGTGACGTATTTTCGTATCTTCGGATATTTTTTCTCGTTCATTCCTATGCTTTATATTCATAATGACCAAACAGATTTCTAAGTTACCTAAGATCAAAACTCTTTCGCCTCCCTCATTTCAGCTAATGCCTTTGTGACCAGACAACATCAGCTACGCGAAAGCTGAATTATAACTCGAACTACACGAACTGACGTTATGGAACCCTGTCATATTCTGGCACATTACCTTCGCATTCTTCATGACGCAGACGATCACAAACTCCTCTAAGGGGTTCTTCATGAAAATTATCTGTCTCAAGATCACGAGAGACAGATGATCCCGATTTGTGCTATTATCATAATCAGCATAGGTAACCTTCTCGGAATTATAGAAAACACTGAAATTTCCCGAGCTCCAAACCGACCGAAAAACGTGTCGGCAGACATCCCAACCGACACGCGTCAACGGTAACTGTAGCCGGCTAACTTAGCCGTCTGTTATATGTCACTGATGTGATTACGAAAGTTCGCTACCTCGTCGTCACTAGCGCAGAA